AATGAGCAAGTGAAGACGTTATTAGAAAATGAATGAGATGAGACATTGTTAAGTGATATTCGAAGATACGACAAAGGAAAGCATGTTAATTTATAAGATGCCCCATAAATCTGTGCAGAGCCCACGTGGTTGCATCTCAGCAGTAGGCTGACCGAATGGTATATGTTTAAAGGTAGAAGCATGATTCACCTTAGTGTCCACCACCATATCTACTGATCAGCATGCGCCACCCTCCCTCCTTTTATGATGTTAGGCTCTGATTGTTATAGCTACAGCAAATATAATGCTTGGTTCCAGACACGTTCGTACCTCACATTCCATTTCCCTAGCTTTCTTAGTGAGTGCTTCCAATAGATCTTGACATACAGATTTATGAACATATTATATATGTGTGCATGCGTCCTAATGAACAGATTAGTTTATAAGATGTTAAACCCTTAGAGAGTAAAAAGAATAGGTTTTGTGAAAAGTGGAGCAAGATTCAGCAGAACACTATAGTTAGAGTTCAACGTAGGTAGTATGAACTGAAGGTAAGGTCGGTTGGCAGGACTTATTGTACTAAATTATCATGACAGTCTTCTATATAGTAAACATTTGACATTGCAAAGTAACCTGTCTACACATATTATAAAAAGATATTAACACAGAACCAACAGAATTTTAACATTTGTTAACAATACTGCAGTGTGTGTATACTGAAGAAGCGTAGTTAGTTAGTCTTACAGGGAGCCGTAAAGTAAATCAAACTATATATGATAAGAGTGTAATCAATATTATAATTCATATTATCAAAGAATACATTAAGCTCAATTATTGAGTGTTATAAGGGAAACAAGCGTGGTAAAGCAAGAGAACATTTGCTGCATAAATATTATAATCATTTTAAGTATTGTAATGACAATCAAATTTAGAGAATTGATTAAGCATAATTACTAAGTATTATTATATTAGTATTGGGACTAGTGTGCTTTCCGTAGTTAAATATTGAAATGTCATTGTTCCCTCACTCTACCAGCAGTTGTGATCTTTTAGACGGGCTAGGGTGGACATGTTAATATGTCTTTCTAGGCTCCTTTTAAAACTGTCAGGCTTTTCGCAGGATCTAATCTCAGAGGATAGCTGGTTCCAAAGTTCGCAATATTTAATGGTGAAAAAGTTAGCTCTAGTGGTGAGTTTATGGGTGTTAACCTTGAGAAGGTAGTCATGGTTGCGTAGTTCATACGATTTAAGATTAGCCCACGTTATGGATGAGTTACTGTTACAGTGCTTTCTTATAACTTTGAACAAGAGAAATAAGTTGCACTTCACTCTCCTTAACCATAAGGGTTCTAAGTCCAGTCGAATACATCTGTCAAGGTATTCTATTTGCTGATCATAGCCTAATATGCGTTTCGTCAGGAATCTTTGGACACTTTCAACTTTTTTCCTGTCTGCTGATTTAAAGCTGATTTCATTTAGATCTGAAAACAGATGCTGAAAACCAGACGCTGTAGTCTAATTTGGGTAGTTTGGCCAGTGAATTTTATAAACTGAAACTTTTTCACGGCTGTTATGCTTTTATCAGACAAGAACAATGCTAAACCACGTATCTTTGCACTGTAGCAAAATGGTAGTGACTCCACTTTGCTGTGGATGTCTAATCATCTACAAATCCCACACTTATGAGGAGAAACATTTGATTAATGTCTCAAAGAGCTGGCAAAGACTGTTTCAACCATGCAGACGGCGATTTTCGCATATCACGAAAATAATTCTAAAGCTGCACCTAACATGCGTGAGAAACCATCTTATGGTGCGTAATTTTATAAAACCACTAGCATCGTGAAGTCTAGAGAAGCTGAAAGAAAGGTGTAGTGGGGTGAGTACTTGATCATCAAGATGCTGGCCACACGAAGTGAGACTCTTTTACCTGCATTTGTTATAGTTTCGGCGGTGACTTCACGATTTCTTGTCAAATATGAGAAATATGAAGTCGAAAGATGAAACTAGTCCTGTACTTCGGATTCCTATCGCCAAAACCTAAATATCTTTGAACTCATAGCCGTGTTCTGTCCTTGTTTCCTGCTCTGGTAAACTGATAAATATTTAGTAGCTACATAGAAGGTGAATAGCTTAACGTGTTTTGCCAGAATCCGAAAAAATAGATACCATAGTAGAGAATGACCTCAAGTGTAATAATCCCTCCTAATTAGCAAGTAAATGTAGTCTCTAAGGAGCACAAAATAAGAACGTGTGGAAGTAAGAGCTGAGAAATCGGCAGGCATCATAGGTACGCAACAAAGATAGTGAATATTGAAGAGTTAACGAGCATTGTTCAAATGGCAACGTTACTGTAGGTTGTGTAATGGGACAGAAATTAGTATTATACCACTAAATAACTCCATTATCGATAAGATTTTATTTTGATAAATCACTAGAATTGGTTTTAGTTATGAGAGATTTGTAGTTTTGACTATAATTTTTCATGTGATGTCTATTGATTTTGAATTTCCGTGGTATACTTTTGCGTGTGCTTATGCAAAGTGCAAAATTGGAATAATGCAGTCCTACACTTCTCAGTTTATCGGACAAATCACAAGGAAATATTAATTGTTAGTTATATGCTGTCATTAGCTTGCACACGTAGATATCAGTAAACGCGTCTAACAACTTACTTCTGACAAATAACTCTAATTTCGAACGAATATTAGTATCTAAGTAGTAATAGTATTACTACAAGTATTTGTATTCAAGCCGCATGGTTTAAATGACTTAGAAGTTGAATATACTCACTCATCTAATATGACGTGTTTGCAACTGCTAAGCCATTTAGATCTAAAGCAAACATTTACGGATAATTTTTTAAGTCGAGAAAGCAAATATTTCTAGTGACTTACCAGTTGGCAATTTCGATAATCCACATCCGTTCCATATGCTGTCGCAGATTGCTAGCTCTTTTATAACATATCTTTTCGTTTCCTTGGCTACTTGGGCAGCCTTCCCAGCTAGTCTCATACACCGCGCGGACATTCCACGTCCCCATTGTTATTCTTCCCTGCATCGTAAGGAGACATATCGGCTGACTGGCTTCCTGAAAGCTTTCACCAGCCGACTGTGTCATTTAGCCTCCCCGATTACAGTGAAGAATAAAATTGTTATATGGATTTTTTGTATGTTTAATGTATTTTTTGTGCGTTGAAGTTCCTATAACAGTTTGATTGTGGTGTAGGGTTGCTAACCCTACGCCTAATCCTCCTTCTTTACCCGGGTTTGGAACCGGCTAGAAAACTAGCAAGCTAGTTAACTAGGTGGGGTTGACACTCAATAATTACCCTGCCAAGTTTATTCTGCAGAGGATGGATAAGATTACGGCATCCAGAAAGGCAGGTCCATGCTCATGGTTGTGTTGTTTTCAAAGCCAAGTCACTAAAAATTTAAAACTGCTGATATCAGCCAGGTAACTTCTAGACTTTACACGACCAATGCCAACTGTTAGTGATTACACAAACTGGTGCTACCTCTAAATTTCTCTTCTGCTATCTTTTGTACAATCTGATTTTTACTTCACGAACATTTCAAGCTGAGACATCTGGTGTTTTAACTCCAATTACAGATACCTCAATGTTTGTTGAAAGCAGTGAACTACTGTACTGTATATTCACTCTCTCATAACGTTCCAGATATGTCATCAGCATGGTATTCGGTACTCTTAACAAATTTTGAATTGTGATTTTGTGTTTGTACTAGTTACAAATAGTACAGCTCTCCAAATTCACCTTTATTCCTGGCCATTGTCAAACTGGAAGTGGGTGCACATCTCATCTAGCAGTTTTTCTTTCAGAAGGTACTCTTGTATCTGAGACTAAACTATTGCTTAACCAATAGTAATAGTAGTAAAGCTCTAGCCACCATGTACCTTTTGCGTTCTGTTCTTAACGGTGAGAACACTACTTCTGACATTACAAATGAGCAACTTCATCATCATCCCATTGAGTTAATAATTCGTTTACTTTTTTCCTCATACAGGTTTCGCACATAATTATTAATACAGAATTATGTGGTAAGTAAACTTTCTCTGATATATTTCTTTTTTAAGGCTTAGGAATATCACGATTTTCAACCAGAGATATCTATTTGAGCTGCAAAACAGTGTCAGGTTTATAAGGCATAAACCGTGGGTGCCAAAATTTAGACTACTACGTCAGATGCAACCGTGGGATCCTCCACTGGATCTCTCTGAAGATAAGTTTTCTGCGAACGAGACAGTATCAGATCACCGAAGACGACTACGTAGAAATGGAATGCTTCCTTCTCCCCTGTTTTTTGATCGTCCAATCAATATCGGACATACAAGTAAATTTTTTTGTGTGACTGTTGCCTTATTGTACTGGTAGCTTACTTTAATGATTCTGTGCATCTTTAAGTTGTTCACTGTCACTGTTGAATTATCAAACTGTGATGCTCTAATGCATTTCAGATATGTTAGTAAATTCATGTATTAGCAGTAGGATATTTGTGCACTTCATGGCATATTGATTTTCATTATTTAATTTCTCACACATTTTCTTGGAAGCAAAAAACCACAGCATTCAACACTAATTGTTAAATTATGTGATAATCCAAACGAACCGCTTTTTTTGGAAATACCACTCCTTTTGTCAGTCATGTTTAAAGGTCGATAGAATCAAAGAATAATCTATTCAGTTGATTTGATGTGATGTTAGACAACTTGCCTCCAAATAATCATTTTGCTTTGCTTATTCATTGTAAGTATTCCTTCATCTCTAGAGATATAACAATAAACCTTATGTCACCAATAAGCACATTGACTTTAGCGCTTGATCCTTAGTGAGTTTTGGGTTCGAATCATTATTATTGTTATTATTATTGGTTTCCCAAAACTGTTAGCACGCACAATCCTCAGGAGACTGAAATTTCCATTCACTCTCGTCTCTTCTTATCATCACGATTTTATATGCAGGTTCTAGTCGACCCTTTCGAAGGTAGTTTGAAATTGAAGAGGTTAAAGTATTTAAAAAACAAACTCTGTCTGTAATTATGTGTGTTATAGCATTTCTTGTGGGTTGTTATGTAGGTTTCTATGATTAATTATGAAAAAGGCACTAACATCTCTCTTGAAAGTTTATAGTAGATGGTTTCACTGACTAGTTCATAACGATATTTAATCCCATTTTAGTATCATAATCCAACCGCACTGATCCACCACCGTGTTGGCAACTATTATAATCGTCTGCATATTGGTCTGTCCCGCTTGTTTTATAAGAATTTTCATGCGCTTACGTGTAAGACATGCTTTGTCTACATCACTGTCCTTTTGGAGATTTTTTTTGCCTACTATATGTATGTACCTGGTTTCTGAGTAAAACATTTTTTGTTTACAGATACTATTATCGAGCCATATGTTCCACCTGATGGTGATGGTCAAACGTCATTACTCTCATCAAAGGTAGTTTCAGTTTGTTTACATTTCAATCTAAGGAACTATCGCTTTCTTTCATTAGAAATTCTTAGAGTTAAAGGATGGTTTACTTGATAAAGGCAGGAACTATAGAGATACGATGTTAATAAAATCTCATGAGCCTTCATTCAAGCCTAAAACGTTTGCCATGGAAGCTGAAAGTATCTATATTGAAGCTCATGATTTATTACAAAAGTAAGTGTGTTTATGTGACAGTGATAAAAACAGTATTTATTCTATGTTAGTTTCTTGATTATATTTGTTCTTTAGTGAAACAGTAGCATTTATCTTTCCATCACTTAGAATATATTGTATCATATTACTTCTTTTGTATTTGCATTACATATGCAATGGTAGGTGCTGTTTTAATTATGTATGTCTACAGAATTCTAGATACCTGACCAAGCGATTGGGTCACGAGTTTAAGTCTCGCTCCACCTATTTAATCATGAGTAACTGGGTAGTATTAACCGGCTTCACACGATAACTGTGACTCTTAGCCTGGTACATGAAAAACCTGTCCCGAATAATTGAGCTGAAACATAAATACAAGGGATTGGTAATTGTCTTCTCAAGTTTGTCCATCTACATTTTTATGAAACGTAAATAAGACCCCTCGCCTAGCATAATCTACTGCAATAGAGTATAAAGAGATGTCTAGTAGAAAAATTGTTAGTTTGGGGAGATCATAGACACACTGGGATTATTTTAAATAATTTTATAATGATACAGACAGTAACGGTGAAATACAACAACTGTTCATTGAAATTCCAATTTACACTGAGTATTCGTTTCCTTCTTTTTCCTGCACTTGATGTTTTTTAATTTTAGTTCGTGATTTCCTTGATTTCCTTTGTCTGTAACTTAATCGGTTGCTGCTGTATCCCAGATTCTTGTAAAAGACATCACTCAACGTACTACTTACAAATTCTTATCAGTAGCATACGCTACACTACTACTACTGCTAAACTAGTTGTTGTTTGAAAAAACATACTTTCCAGTCATTAAGCAGATTCCGTCGTATAATTTCTTGTTTTTATTTCTGTCAACTTGTAGTTATCGTCAGAATGAATCTCGGTTATTTGAATTGGTTACAGAGAAAGCGTTACTGGTAAGTTCATGTATTCGTAGACGTCAACCGATTTTCATCGTTGATTACTAACTTTCGTTATGGGAAACAGAATCCGTTTCTACAGTTTTGTTATGCATAATTATTATCCTGACAGTGTTGTCCAACATTTTTTATTCTATCATATTAAAAGCTTCAGTTAGATTTGGCGAAGAAATATAGACAACAGTGGACTTATTATTTTTATGATGGAACTTTCAAAAAGACTGGGTTTATCACTGCACTCAAATTAACAGCTTGCGAACTCCCCATTCATCACTGTATTACTGGATCGCTATAAGATACAAATGCCAAACAGTTTGTCTGTCTGGATTCAACATAGAACTTGGCACCGAAGTGCAGCAGTTCGAGTTGCCACGTTCCAAATAGCACACAAAGGTAGACAAGAAAATGAGTGAAGAGAATCAATAGAGTTTTGACAAGTATAAGAGTGAAACAGAATGAGTAATTGTAGAAAGGAATATGAAAGAATACAGAGACTGAATACATCTGCGCCATTGACAACGATTTTGAGCCATGTCGCCTATTGTCTCCAGCCATTGATTCTTAGAGTCCCTAGGGCCAACGAAGTCTGCATCTCCCTACCTGACTCAGTTTAACTGTCAGGGATTTCATGGATTGATGCCATGTTTTTGTTTGGCCACCACTTACTCTTTTCCAACCTGCACCTATATCAGCTAGTAATGCCCGTCGGGGGAGGCGATGGTTAGGCATGCGCAGCACGTGACCTAGCCATCTCAATCTATGTAACTTTATAGCCTCTTCGATTGATTTTCCCTCTTTGCCCAACACTCTACGCCTAACGTCAACATTACTTACCTTATTATGCCACCTAACGTGAGAAAGAGATCGTAAACATCTATGATCAAAAACAGACAATCTCTTCATGTCTTCAACTCGTATTGGCCATGTTTCAAAGCCATAGAGAAGGACGGAGCAAACTGCTGAGCAGTACACACGTCCCTTGGTTGATAGTCGGATGTCACGCCTACGCCAGAGACGGTGTAAGTTAGCGAAAGCAGCCCGAGCTTTTTGGATCCGTGCTGAGATTTCGTCACCAATCAATCCGTTGGTGCTGATACAACTTCCCAAATAGGTGAAGTGGTCAACATGTTCTATCACTTCACTCCCTATCACTAAGCTAGGAGTAGACGTAGTCCAGTCCTGTAGCAGCATCTTACATTTTACAGGGGCGAATCGCATGTCAAACATACGAAGATTGCTGCTCAAGGTGTTCAGAAGACTCTGCATTTTGTCAGCATCCTCCCCTAACAGGACTATGTCATCTGCATATTCTAAGTCCATAAGACTATTCCCTGGTAACAAGTCGATTCCTAAGTCGTTAAGTTCACTTAAGGATACTTCCATTAGCATATCTATGATGAAGTTAAACAGGAATGGGGAAAGTGGACATCCTTGACGGACACCAGTGGTTGTTATCAATTCAGATGACAATTCCCCATAAGCCCTTACATGGCTACGTGAGTTTGAGTAGAGTGCCTTGATTAGTGCAATGAACTTTCTTGGCACTCCCTTCACAGTCAAACATTGCCATAGTACCTTTCGATCCACGGAGTCGAAGGCCGCCTTCAAGTCAAGAAATATGGCAATTGTTGGACGCCGAAAAGTGTGTCTATGTTCTAGGATCTGTCGGAGAGTGAAGATATGATCTATGCACCCTCTACCTGGCCTAAAGCCTGCTTGATTTTCCCTCGTTTGTTCCTCCCGAGTTCGGCTTAGTCTGTGCATGATTACTGAGCCTAGGATTTTAGAGACTATGTTCGTCAGGCTGATTCCTCTATGATTATCACATGACGACTTGTCTCCCTTCTTGAATATTGGTATAATAAGTGACTTACCCCAGTCTGATGGAACCGTCTCTGATTCCCAGACGTTACCTAGTACCTTAGTTAAACTATATACTAGTATGTCACCCCCATATTTAAACACCTCCGGAATAATTCCGTCGGGTCCTGCCGCTTTGCCTCGTTTCAAATTACAGATAGCTTTTTTGACCTCACTTACAGACGGCGGGCCAGTGTCTATATCCCATTTGGGTGTGTGCTGGATGGCGGGGAGGCTCAGTGTGGCTGTAGGCAAGTTAAATTGTTCCTCTAAGTGTTCTTTCCAGCGTTCAAGGCGTCTATCCTGAGAGCTAATTAAGGAGCCATTTTTCTCAGAAATAGTCTCACTTATGATTTGCCTTCTCCCACCCGTTTCCCTGATGAGTCTAAAGAATTGCCTAGTGTTGCCTATCGCCGATGCTTTTTCTATCTCTTTCGCCTTTGTCACCTACCACTGTTCACGGTCCTTGCGGAGACTTTTCGTAAGTTTCCTTTTGTGCAGCTTTCGCTCCTCATTGAATTCGGAGCTCGCCGGAATAAGTCTTCTAGCATGTATCAGTTCGGATGAGGCAGTCGAAGTGCAATGGTTTTTACTCACCTTTGGATTCACCTTATTCACAGCTTTTACAGCTGTATCTATGGCTGACTGAATATTCTTCCAGGCTTCTTCAAGGTGAGCGCAGCTGTCGAACTCAGATATGTGTTTAGCTAGTTCTTCCTCAAATAGGGACTTAGTTTCCTGATCGAGCTAGAGACGGGATGCCAAACAGGCCTCAGCTTATGTTTAGTATTGCGGTTTTTTGCCTATGTATTGTATGTTGTTAAGTTGCACTGATTGTGAGATGGCTAGGGCTCGTATTGTGCATGCCGAGCCATCGACTTCCTCTACGGGTAGTGTTAACTGCATAGAATTAGGTTGTAAAAGAGTTAGAGGTAGTCAACCCAATACCTAAAACTAGTCCATGAAGTCTTTGATAATTGGATAAGTCAAGCACGTAGGGAGGTGTAGGCTGCCTTGTTTGTGTCCCCGGTATCCTAAGAACCAATGACTAGAGACTATTGATGATATAGCCCAAAATCGTTCTCAATGGGACAGATACATACACTCTCTGAACTGCTGCTGTTCTGTGCGAATTTCTCTGCTGAAATCTACGATTATTAGTCAGACATTGCATTATTGAATTTGTCTTTGAATTTTATCAAGTGAATAGGATTATAAATATCTGATTAATATTTTGCTATTTTTGAGTATGTCATATGTTTGGAGTAAAATCAGTTGAACAATGAAATCCTCATTGAAAATAATTATGTCTCATTTGCATGTGTTTGACACTGTCGATCTTTTAGTTGCCACTATTAAACCATGCTTCTGTCCCTATGAGATGTCACGCTATCTCTATCTAATACTTGGTAGAATTACCTGCCTTTTTATTTGATTCACATAATTGATATGCCATACTAAATGTCAACAATTTCGGTAGGTAAATTAACATTGTGGGTTAATTCTAATACCACTTGAAATCACTGTGCTTAATAATTTCTCAGACGTCATGCTCCAATATTAGACCTAACCTAATTTGTGAGCATTTGTACTGATTCGTGTAACTACTCTGGGATAAATTAGGTGTACATTTATCTTCATGGCTAGACATGCTACCGATCTTGCTACTGGTTTTCAACAATGCAACTAATGCTTACTTCCATCAATTTTATGATAAGTCACAGCTGTGGAGCTTATTTCTAGATCGATCTTTGTTTAAGTACCATAGTGTTTCTATCATTGTATTCCCGCCAATAAAATGGGCAATTGATAGATAAATGGACTTAATAAACCAGATAAGCATATATGGTTTTATCCCTTACCTTTCTAAAAGTGTTCTTGGTTGTTGTAACTATAGTCGTATCAGAAAGCCTAACTTTTTATTGTCGTTTGTCAGCTACACACACTCCAAATATCTTATTCACTTTAGATTCACAGTCTGAGCATCTGACAGGAATGACTTATTTTGATTTGACACTAGTAACTAGTGTGATGCGTCTAGTCCTCTCTTTGGTGCAGACTGAATTCTATCAGTCAGGTTGTAATGTGGCTACCATTCTAGGTAGCTCGCCATCACGGTGTACATTGTTTGTGATGATATTAGATGGTTGGATGCAATCGGCAGGAAGCCTTGGACCTAGGTTTCGTGCTAGTTGGCACTCGTCAGCAAGGCGTATCTGCAACGTTGAAGGAGGACTAGACGCATCACACTGGTTACTAGTGTCAAATCAAAATATCCACTACAGTCCTACAGGAGGTCAATCGCGAGCCCGAATAGCTCAGTGGTAACGTCTCTGACTGCAGCACTGGGTGACGCGGGTTCGAATCTCAGAAAGGACATGAGTTCCTTCAAGGTTGCAGATACGCCTTGCTGACGAGTGCCAACTAGCACGAAACCTAGGTCCAAGGCTTCCTCCCGATCGCCTCCAACCATCTAATATCATCACAGGAATGACTTATTTTAAAATCTCAACTAAGCTTAACATTTCCCATATGTGTGTTGTGCTGAATGTGAGAAATTTTTGGGCTACCTCACTAATGCACTATTTGTTTCTTCTAAATACAGTACAATCGTTCATTAACCTGGACAAATATTGATTCCACTAACAATTATCTAAGTGTGGAAAGTCACGTCGTATCATTAGACTTCATACAGTACGTATTGTTCCGTATCTATTGCACAAGTTACATGGGGTTTCTTGCTTACACGACATTGCTTTGCAACTATGTCATTATAGTAGACCAAGATGTGTTGTACAGAAACCATCATTGCACAAAATCACATTGGAAAAATCAGAATCGATGCACTTCACAGCTTCAGCTTATTTGGAGGTTTAAATTATTATTATTATTATTATGTGTTTTCCGTCTAATTCTGTTAGGACATGACTGCAGACTTGAAATTGCGAACTCTACAATGGAAGTTTATGGGTAATATTGAACCTCCAAGAGTTGTTCATATACGCTGCAAAGAAGTCATGGCTAAAGATAATCACTATGCTCAAGTCACGGTTCGCTTTTACACTCAACAGGTACAAGTGTATTTATTTATTAACTTATTTATTTATGCACTGTTAACAAATTAACACATCATAACTCACTTCAATAGTATATCATTTAGTCTATTTATGTTGCGTAATTAAATACGATTAATTGAAAATGATTGATGGTTATTTATTTCCATTATACTGCATTGTTTCCCGTTGTTCCCTTGCAGAATTCAGTGAACCACTTCCCTTTTGTCAGAGGTGTTCATTGATTACATATATATATTATCCATTGCAGGTATGGTTGACCTAAGTAACCCACATTAGGTTTGACTTTTTAGTGAAACACACGCGCATAACAGGCTCTTATTTCTTAATAACTGAGTGTAGGATTTAAGATGGTATTATACATTACAGAAGAGAATTAGAAAAATTCGTGTGTTCATGCCATTGACGGCGATGAGCCACTACCCATCGTTTGAGAGTTTCGTACATCTGGCTGCCAATTCCTCGGTATTTCAAGCTAAACAGAAAAACAGGCTAATCATACGAAATGAAAATCGTCAAATGGCAAAAAATATTTATAACTCAATATGCTACAGCGCGACTTGACAAGGGCTTGAATTCATGAACCAGCAGATTCCCATCCGGTGGCCGAATAGTAAAATGCTCTTCCGCTAACGTAAAGGTCCTTAGCTGTATCCCCTGTGAGTTCATGGATGAGTGCTGTTGAAGAGTTCCAAACCAGGACAGAACAGTTATCCAACACTCTCTAGTTTTCAGTGTTTCTCTAACTAATGTCGGTCCAGTCGAATCTCTCCACAAACCCATCACCTGTAATCTCATAATGTAGTTGTTCAGATTTCGAAAATGACAGTTTCAAATTACTACACTACTAAAAGTAGTGGCTGTAATCCGTAGCTGTTTCTGTATATAGAAATCGTAAAACCCACAGCACAAAAAGATCAAAATACTGTGAACACTAGCACCTATAGTACTAAGTGTTTCATGGTTTCACATTTCGCCTACTCTTTTTGAAGTAGTAATATCTTTCAGTGTGTTAAATAATCTATCAATACTGAAATTTGCAGTTATTTTACTTTCTGTTATTTCTATTTAATAATTAAATTTATTGGATACCATCAAATGTGTGGCTTCCGTCATGAATCAAAATCAGTCAAACTGTTGCGACCAAGTTTGTGTTTCCCAATGCATTTAACTTGGGTACTTGATGAACTGATGCTCACACTGCTTCTTTTTCTTCACTAAATGACCAATTTTTGAATCAACCTCTTTTCCAGTAACACATAAGCTCTTATTACTATAGACGTATGTCTGTAGTACAGCGGGGTAGAATGCTCGCCAACCACACATGTGGTTTGGTGTTCGACCCCTGGCTGACACACTCCTATTAACTGGAAGTAAGTCCGGTAAAGCGAGAAGGTGGGGCGTGAGGCTAACAACCACACCTCGTTAAAATAACACAAAGCGTTATAGAAACTTCAAAGCTCAAGCTTGAAGTCCTGTGAATGAATATAGAAAAAGTTTTTAAAAACAATAGTCTACCTGATATGTTGAGTTTACCATACGTACAAACAGATCCATTTCTTTTTAATTACTTCTCACCTAATTTACTCAATTATTACGATCAACACTTGGAAAAATTCGGCTTTCCATCTTAATGGAGATGTACAGTAATGTAGAATCATGAGTCTACATCCCCCTACAAAACACTGCAGTCATCTCAATGAGACTGTCTAGTTAACAGAGCTAACATAAATTAGTATTTACAGATTCTGCTTAATATCTTTTAAAACTAAATATGCAATGTCTGAACATTGTATTTTTCCGCATCTACCTTTTGCCGATCATTTTGATAGCAATTATAAACCTAAGTGTGCATATATATATGCGTATATTCTTTTAATTATCACTGTAAATAAGTGTGGGATGTTCCCCAGTGCATAATTTACAAAGTCAGACGGTTAAATTATCTGGATTGAGTAAATCACTTCATGGGATGAATTCATACTCCAGAGGTGATTTTGTAAACTATGAAGGAGCATAGTTTTTACTTAATTACAGGCGTAGTGTAGCTACAACATTTTTGTATAAATTGTTCATTCTAGACCTCAGAACTTACTGAATAAGCTCAGAAACTGTAAATGTCCCTTCTTAGGTAATACGTTTAATGATAAATGAAGAACATGAAAGATTTTCTCCTCTTGGATATTATATATATATATATATATATATATAATATCGATTATTACGTTCTGCAAAAGTTTAAATCATATCAACTGTCTGCTTCTGTGTTTTTTCCCTCTTGTCATTTAGATTTTAGCAATTTATAGCCGATTTGGACGTTTATTATACGGTAACCCGGATGTTGCAGTTGATGTCCTCGAATATGCAGTATTTGAGAAGCATATTTCTGATGAATACGGTATATGGAGATTACATGGTAAAATTCAGCCGCCAAATTCGACATCGCATTATACTTATATACCTACTCAACGATTGGTTCCAATTGATTCATCATCAACATCGAAGTCAAATAATTTGCTCCTAGAAAATAATAATAATAATAGTTCCAATGACTCACCTTCAGATACTGTTTCCAGCAAAGAAACTTTGAACTGACTATAATTTTGTACATAAATAAAAACCTAATGAAGAATTAATAATTATGAGTAAGGAGAGATAGTGACTGGAGGATAGCTCCACTGATTAATACGTATATGTAAAATCACCTTAAGTTTGATGTAGTTGATAGTTGGCGAACAGATCAAGAACAAATTATCTATGGTTTCTGTGACTGGTTAATTTAAGCCTACTAAATGACGTTGATGATGACTGGTGCATGTTGTTGCTGGTTGGTTGACTTCATCACCTCTGTCTTCTCCAAGTACACTTGAAGTCCTGTCTTTTTTGCTCCTTTTGCGAACTTGTTGGTTTTCACATGTAAGTTTTCGAGTTTGTGTGGTCTGAAAGGTAAATCGTCCGTGAAGTTCAGATCTTCTAGAGTCATCTTGTTGACCCATAGTATTCCTGTCTTCTCCCGCTCCGCAGTCTTCCGCGTAATCCAGTTCACCACAATTAAGAATAGGCAGACAGCCTTGCCTTACTCCTGTATTCACTTCGAGCGCCTCACTGAGTTTTCCCTTGTGGATCACCTGACACATTGGCATTGTCATATAGCTGTGGTTGAATGAGGTTGGTAAAGACTTTGGACACATCTTAGTATTGAAGTAATTTCCAAATTACTTCTTGGTCAACGCTGTCGAAGGCTTTTTCGAACTTGACTAGCATCCCATGCTCTGTTTAATGACGATGCGTAGAGTTGAAATTTGATCAGCACATGATTTGCGTTTCCTGAATCTAGCTTGTTGAGGGCTAGCGGAGTTCTGCATCCAGCGCATCTTTTAGTCTCTCTAGGTTGATGACGTAATATTTTGTATGGCGTGGACGAGAACATGATTCAGCTCCAGTTTTTGCTGGAATCTAAGTCGCCCTTCTTCGTTAGTTTCACACAGTAACCTTTCTTCCAATCGGTAGGTGTCTTTTCTTCCTTCTAAACGTTTTGCAATAATAGTGTGAGCATATCCGCTTAGGTCTCTGGATCCGTTTTTAGTGCTACAGGATGAAATCCTTCTTACGGCCCCGCTGGCTTTTAGTAGCTTGATTGCATTCAGGATTTCTGCTTTCTTTGGAGGATTGGTGTCCACTTGCAGTTCTTTGGCTGTTGGTCGTATTTCTGGGCGGGTTGTAAGAGATGGTTGATTCAACGGTCCTTTGAAGTAGTCAGCCTATTGCTTTCTTTATCTCTTATCTTTGGCAATTAGTTCCTCTAGAACATCATCATCATCTGGGTTGATCTCTTCCCGGTTAGAGAATTGTTCGTCTGATATGTTTTGAGATCTGTTTCACCCGTGGCCTGTTCTGCTTCAGCTTCCAGTGTGTTGTGGATTAGTCTTTTGTCTCTTCTAGCCCTCAGTGGGATGTACATTGAATTTAGCTTCTCCTTCTATTGTCCATCTTTGCATTGGTTGGTCTTCCGTTTCACGATCCACCTCGACTGTACTAGCTTCTAGGTGTTCGTAGAGGGTCGTTCCTTGTCTTGCCTCTTTTTTCTTCTTAAAACGACTGTACATGTTTCCTTTAACATTATTTTCTCAGAGTTCCAGTGTTTTTTTTCCACACAGGTTTCCTCAGTGATCCCACCTAATTTCTCCGACTTTGCTCTTATGGTTGCAGTATGTGTATATTTTACAGTTTCGTGTTTCAGTTTCTGAGTGTTGAACTTGAATTGCAGTCTATCTCCAGCTGCTTTGAAAGCCTTTAGTTTGACCTTGAAAGTTCCTTGCATTAGATCATGGTCAGGTGCCATATCTGCTCCCCTTCTCGGCTTTGTGTCCAGTCGGCTGCGTCTCCACTTTCTTAAGATTGAGATGAAGGATATATACCATACTACAGAATTTAAAGCGGCTTCCTGCTGATTGCCTCCAACCATCTAATACCAACAATATGAATCAGTTGCTCAACAAATAGAAGGATTAATCACTGACTATGTTTCAGTTTGTTTAGTCACATTACAAATAGGCAGGCCAAATAGTTGTAAGGAAAACACAAGTATATGCGTAAGATTTGGACACTGTGCCAATAACATGTTCTAGGTCGCACATCGTAATCTGAATAACTTCAGTTTCCAGGGGAAAGTGTGATAAAATTTTATCTCTAAGTGTGTAATAGGGAAACCACGATTTAATCTGAAGGTTGTTAATTTGATTCAGTATATTAGCAGTTTTGCCAAGAAATGTGGTGGTTTGCACTGACTGTTCTGTCTGAATTCAGTGGAACCGGGTGCATCGCTGATGAACTTGGCTCTAAATGGTCGTTCGGATCAATTCGATCTGGCTGGTAAACTACTGGTTGATATGTGTGGCGTCCGACTACTCGTACCAGTAATTCAGTAGTATGCAACGTCATGCATTCACAAACTATGTTTGTCGACATAAATTCAACTCCAGAGACTATTATCAGATTACAGTGACGGAGAATAATCTGAAATGATGGAGAAGATTTGTAGGTCAGCTGGATGATTTTGATGTGGTTGTGTTCTCTGAGCTGGATGGTTGATTTGCGCAAATTAACTATCCAGCTCAGAGAACACAACCACATTAAAATAATCTGAAAAGAAATCATATGTATTCTTCCAACATTTTGGGAATAATTGAGAGGATGTGTCTTAGAGTCACAGTTGCACGTATTCGAAAATGAATGGGTGCAATGAATTCACTTCGACTTTCATAATAACTTTGAATTTCCCGGCTGTTTGATTTTTTAAGTGTGCAAACAAGCGGAAACAACGTCACACCACAATGTGTTAGACCCTTTTACGATGACAAAGGCCCACTTTAGACCTCCGAAACATCTAACATACTGAATCAGTTTTTTGCAGATTTTCATCTAGGATGATTGAGCGCACAAATATTTGTCAGGATTTCAAATGCAAGGACAAAGAAAGGGAAACAAGAAGAATCAACAGGTTTACCGAGAATTAGAGACATGCTATTTTTAACCTTTCTTTCTTCCTTTACCTCCCGTAGTCGTATCTGCTAGGCTTTACAACTGTTAGGAAATAAATCAATAATTTGGCGCTTCAGTAATACAGAAAGTCAGTCAAAAACTTTTATGAGACAGTATTTAGCCTGTTTGAAACCTCATCTTGGCTTCAAATAAAGCAGGAATTAGGATGGTATTCAAACCTACAAACTCATTCAGGGACAAACTTGTTTCCCTAAAGGACTAAGGTAAACAAAATTACCTAATCTACAAAATACCTTGTGATAACTGTAAGATCGAGCACATAGGTGAATTCTTTAGAACGGACTCAGTTATTGGTACATGGGAATTTAAGCAAGCAGAGGATGACTGACCCCGAAAAGATTCACTGAGGGGAAACTGCAACACTTGTAATGCATGCATTAATATATCGTCACACATTATGGTGGGACAACATTCCAGTTCTAAAAAGTAAAATAGATGAAGGGAGCAGTTAGTCACTGAATCCTTGCTCATCGATTCTCTACCTAACGCGTGCAACAGGAACGACACAGCGCCAATACCAGAGATATGAAAAATATTATTACCAAAAAAATCAAAGGATAAGGAATACTTTTTAATTTTGATTATAGCTTGATTCCACAGCGTATACTTGGTACAAGTATGGAATTTTCAGCATGTGATATCGGTAGTCCAAATTTTGCAGGTCGAGCATTGATATCAGGTGTTTGTCGGCGGCCTTCAACTCCGTGGATCGAAAGGTACTATGGTTATGTTTGACTATGAAGGGAGTGCCAAGAAAGTACATTGAACTAATCAAGAAACTCTACTCTAACTCACGTAGCCATGTAAGGGCTTATGGGGAATTGTCATCTGCATTGATAGCAACCACTGGTGTCCGTCAAGGATGTCCACTTTCCCCATTCCTGTTTAACTTCATCATAGATATGCTAATGGAAGTATCCTTAACTGAACTTAACGACTTAGGAATCGACTTGTTACCAGAGAATAGTCTTATGGACTTAGAATATGCAGATGACATAGTCCTGTTAGGGGAGAATGCTAACAAAATGCAGAGTCTTCTGAACACCTTGAGCAGCAATCTTCGTATGTTTGGCATGCGATTCGCCCCTGTGAAATGTAAGATGCTGCTACAGGACTGGACTACGTCAACTCCTAGCTTAGTGATAGGAAGTGAAGTGATAGAACATGTTGACCACTTCACCTATTTGGGAAGTTGTATCAGCACCAACGGATTGATTGGTGACGAAATCTCAGCACGGATCCAAAAAGCTCGGGCTGTTTTCGCTAACTTACACCATCTTTGGCGTAGGCGTGACATCCGACTATCAACCAAGGGATGTGTGTACTGCTCAGCAGTTCGCTCCGTCCTTATCTATGGCTCTGAAACATGGCCAATACGAGTTGAAGACATGATAAGGTTGACTGTTTTTGATCATAGATGTTTACGATCTCTTCCTCACGTTAGGTGGTATAATAAGGTAAGTAATGTTGACGCTAGGCGTAGAGTGTTGGGCAAAGAGGGAAAATCAATCGAAGAGGCTATAAAGTTACATAGATTGAGATGGCTAGGTCACGTGGTGCGCATGCCTAACCATCGCCTCCCTCACACTGACGGACATTACTAGCTGATATAGGTGCAGGTTGGAAAAGAGTAAGTGGTGGCCAAACAAAAACATCGCATGAATCAATCCATGAAATCCCTGACAGTTAAACTGAGTGAGGTAGTTAGGGAGATGCAGACTTCCGGGTTGGGGCCCTCGGGACTCTAAGAATCAATGGCTGGAGACAATAGGCGACATGGCTCAAAATCGTTGTCAATGGCTTACGCAGATGCATTCAGTCTCTGTAATCTTTCATATTCCTTTCTACAATTACTCATTCTGTTTCACTCTTATACTTGTCAAGACTCTATTGATTCTCTTCACTCATTTTCTTATCTAGCTTTCTGTGCTATCTGGAACGTGGTAACTCGAACTGCTGCACTTCGGTGCCAAGTTCTATGTTGAATCCAGACAGTTTGTCGGCAGGGGGTCGAATCTCGGACCATGTGCATCTTCAGCGAGAGTCCTAACAGCTGTACCACCGACGCACATAATGAAACTATCCAAACAATATCTGAAGGAGATTTGGTGAGTACGGTTATATAATTATGAGTGACTAACTGTGCATGAATCGTCATCGTTAAATAACGCTGTATCACTATGCGCTTTATCAAATAAAACTGTTCTAGAAATCATGTTCTACCACAGTGCCTAAATTCCCATTATTTTGATGCTTATTTATGATTCAATGTAAAGCTGACTGTATACATTTTACAGGTCGATTGTCAATATTCCTGTTGAAAATATGTAATAATTAAACTTATCAATGGTGTCTAATTCAGTAGCATCAGCATATTTCTTAGGTATAGAATACAGCTTCAGATAATTGGATAAGTGACAATAAGTTTCAAATTTTTACTGTCTGCTTTAACAAGTATAAGTAAAGCTATGGAGTTTTTGAAAAAAAAACAACAACAATCAGATGCTTAACCATACAATACGTTCACATTTATTTATGCTTTGAGAGAAAAGTAAAACAACACCACAGAACTAGAAAACCTGTGATGATAACCATTATGCTGCATAACACATGCCCAAGTCATAAATATACACCAGTATTTCACAGCATAAGATAAATACTCTACTCATGTTATCTGTTTTAACATGTTTCCGTAAACAATTGTTGTAGTTTGTGTTTTTGTCTTGTTAGGTAGGCTTTTGTAGGATGATAGCATGATACATCATTTGACTGTCATTTCATTGTTTTTCTTCATGTGAATATTGTCTTTTCCAAATAGCTTAGGTGATACGACTTGTTCCGCTTAACTCAATTTATAGTCGAAAATTATTATTATTATTATCATTGTTCCCTTTGGTTCCATGTGGAGCATACGGCTTCAACAACACATCTCCACTGTGTTCTGTTTTCTGCTGTCCTCTTTAGCTGGGTGCATGATTGCCCATAAACTCTCATCTTCCCTTCTCAAGATCTCCTCCTCCATGCTACTCTCGCACTGACGACCCACTCATCGCTTCCTATTCGGATTCCACTCGAGGGCTGGCCTGAATTGCACACGATGTCATTTGACGGCCTCCTCAACGAATGCCCTATCCATCTCAATTTTCTCCTAAATATTTCTTGAGCGACTGGCTGTTGTTGGTTAGTTTGTTCCCAGAGTTTCTTGTTACTAATTCTTTCTGGCCGGCTGGCTGGCCATTTGTTGTTCTTCAGTATGGAGCCAGAGAAGGAGGCAGCTGTTGATAAAAGTCTGCAATTCGTTGGAAATGCTTTTACAACAATATTGTTTTTGATTATTCCATCGAATAAACAATAGGTAAATGAAACATCAAAACACTATTTTAAGAAGAAATAGATAACCAACTGGTAGATGCCAACGAAATATTTATAAATTTCTTAATCTGAATTTTCATAACATTGTATAGTGATTGAATTTAATTGAACTAGTCTAGCAACAACTTTATTTCAAAGGTGATAGATAATAATGCAGGAATAGTTAACAAAAGTTAAGTTGGTTCCCGATTACCGAAGAACATGCTCTTTGATGCAATCAAAATGTGATGGATACTCTTCTTATATTAGCTCTAATGGCTTATGTGAATTTATATTTACATTTGGTAACAGTTACATTGGAAGAGCAGAGAGAAGGGCACATCTTAGATTTTCAGAACATGTATCATAAAGCCTACATCTCAAGGGAACAAACGCTTTTCATAATGTTATTGCCAGGTATCTCGTTGATACGGGTCATGAAATGGACACCCTGGCATCATTTAAAATTATCAATAGACGATATGGTTTAATTCTCCCTAAGTTTGCCGAAGTAATTGCTATCAAACGCTTAAAACTTGATTTATGTATTCAGAAGGAAGCAGTTATCAGTCTTTCGTTGACCTAGTAACTTGTTGTTTTTACTCTCCTTCTTTTTTAATTATGTATTCCTTTGCTCAAACCTCTCCCCCTTTCATTATTATGTAATTTTGCTTGCCTTTTGTTTCTGTGATTTGAGTTGAGCTCACCACACTGTTGCACAACTTACTGGTTACTTGTCGTCCTGTCTACCTCTTGTCTTTGTTACGCTACTCCTCTTCCATTTTATCCAAACATTTATTGTTGTTTTTGCTTTTGTTTTGTTTAAAATTCAACCTTTTGTATATAAGTTATATAGGAGTAATTTCTGAGCACTATTAATGAATTTTCAGGGTCTCCTGTTAGTTGAATTCATATCACCTTTGCAAATACGTTAACGATTTCTCCATACACAAGCTTAAGGTGTACACAGTTGATGAAAAGTCGACGAAATAAACGACGATAAAATCATATCCTGCACAAACCGTTGTTTTTGCTCTATTCAAATTCATGAAGAGGAATAAGTGTATAAAACGTAATAAGTGGTTTCAAGTGAAGCCTGTTCAGTGTTGTATCTTTTCAAAAGATTTTTATCTTTGTATTCTATGGACTTTGTCGACTTTCAGTTTGTTAATACAACCATTATTTCAGCGTATTAACACTTAGTGACTGAAAGTCGAGCATCTAGACCAATGAGAACAGCTTGACACCTGACTGCAGTGTTTACTGCCACCAACAGTCAGATTGGCTAACTGAAGTGACCATCTTCGAAGCGTCCGCACTAAAAGCCGTAATGTCAACGAAGACCAAGCATTTCCGTCCAACATATGTAGTAGATCCATAAGAAATGAAACATAACTTAAACAAATGGGTTTTTGAAGTTATTTGATTTTAATTTCTTTCCCTGTTGTGTAATTTTCTGTGTTAGTAATAGGTGAGTTTATTTTTTGCATTTAATCTCCTTCATTTTTACATTTTTTGAAGATTCTGTTTGATACTACACATAGATTGACAACGATTTCAGGTAGAAATCGAAATGTTCTGCCTTTTTTTCTCCCTCTCTCTCTTCTATGATATTCTAGATCGTTTGTTTTATAATATCTTCTATGCTTCTGTTTCGATGTAAAATTGTGTTACTTTACTTTTCATTCCTTTATTATAACAGTTCTAATCCTAGACTTTAATCTGTAGATAATACAAAGAAAACCTGTGAAGTAAAGGAATGTTGTTTTGTGTTTAAGATTGACCAACAAAGCCGATCAGATTTTAGGAGAAATAAGAAAAAAATGCTATTTAAATGTTAGGAATTTATGAGAGCAGATAGAATGGAAGTGATTCTCTAAATGAGAGAGTCAAAAATCTTCTTCAGTCATCCAGACGACAACTATAAGCACACTACAGGAGTGAGTGGCTATCATGACGTCACCAATAACATCGAAAGCTCGTATGCAGTGGGATAACGACATCTCCTCCAGGATAACGATAACAAGAATCAACTCAAAACGAAGGAATGGAAAGCGATCATCTGATAGTCAGAGAGTAACATGAAGGACATCATATGAAGGGAGAATGAAAATGTCGGCAATCGTGGAAGTAGCTGAAAATGAAGATAGATGTGTTGCTTAACAGCTTATGTTCCACTGGAAACGCAACGAACAAATAATAATAGTAATAACTCTTATCTATAATTTATTGAAAGTTTGATAAAAGCGGATCACAAAATCGCTAGTGGTAAATGTAAGTAGGATAATAATCGTAGTATTATAAGTAGTAATGTAATAGCAATAGAAAAAAGTAACAATCGATATAAATAACAATATTTCCACAAAAAACTGAACTAAAGGAAGTTAATCATTTAACCAAACAGAAATCAATTGTTTGAAGAGGTGCTTCTGTGCTTCACTTTACACATTTTTACAATATAGATATTTTTTGTACAGGTTTTTAATTTGTCAAAGATTTGTCACAGAATATTTTGAAAATATTGATAACATAATGTAAATAGATGATTGTGAATTATTTAATTTACTTCAGTTTTAAATAAACAACAACAGAGGCGGAGCAGCAGTAGCAAACATTAAAGACAGAGACGAAAACATTGAAGAAAGAAATACATATACAGAAATTAAATTATTTGAGAAAAGAAAGTAAATTCAAAAAAGAGTAAGGTGGAATAAAGAAATACGGCGCCAAAAGTAACCAAGCTTAGTAAAACAAAAGTTAATATCTAAGTTTTTAACGGAAAAGATTAATTAAATTAATAATAAAAATAGTAATTAAATGAGTAATTTGACTGCTGATACATTTAAACAAAGCGATAAATATGCACATTTGTAACACTGAGTAGCCGAATCATGTTTTGAAGTCATTTTAATTATTATTATTATTATTAAAAATAATGGTAGTATTATTGCACATCATCAAAATTTTCTTCAGAGTACCATTAACTATACAGTACAAACGATCTAGCGTGTAGATTTTATATATTACCAACGAAAAACGGTTAAACAAGAAGTGAAAAGTTAAACAAAATTAAATCATCAATAATTTATGTAAGAGAATCGATTAAAAGAGTCAGAAAATGGAAATTGAAAATTTTCAAAAATACATAAATAATTATTCTTAGTTTTGTTTTACTGTGTCCAACTGAAAATATTACTCAATAAATAACGAGTAATCTGTATACGTGTACATATACATAAATGTATACATGCCTGCTTACATAAGTATATTATCAAATGGAAACAAATGCACTCCATATTGTCATTTTTTGACATATATATATATATATATCAAAACATTTGTTTTCCAAAAAGAAGGAAAGTTGAACAAAGGTATGAAGGAGATCAGAGTATTTTATTCCATGTAATTATTTCTCAAAGTCAGAACCAAATATGCAACATAAGATGGCACCAGTAAGTGGTATGTACAAGATGACAGATGCGATAGATTGACAAACACACAAACACAGAGATAGAGGTGAACAAATCTCTTTGTTTGACAACAAACATAAATAACACCATGGATCAAGAAAAACAACACAACACACCTAATCTTTGTAGGTAGTTTAAAATTATACAAAAGGCGATATTCCAGTATATGTTTGCACGGACACGGACATGTGTGTGTGCATTGTGATGGATGAGTTGATTGTATCTTTTAAAAACCAAACATACTTATTTATTCATCTATCTATCTATCTCTGGAAACTAGAACATCAAAAAAAAATAATAATAACGAACTACAAGAAAAAAGATCTGGTTGCTTTTGCGGATATTTCAAAAGTGTTGAAAACACTTCTAGGCAAATTCAGATTCACGAAAATTGAGGAGAAAAAATAATGGAAGCTACCTGTTTATACCATATATATAATGCAAAGTGATTTTTTTGTTGTTGCACATAACTTGATTGTAAGGAATGAACAACAATCAACTTCTGCGATAATAAATGATAAACAATAGAAAGACATTCCAGGTGGTGTAAAGATTACGGTGTGTTTGTGTGTTTATGAGAGCCACCTCTTTGCATTTCTCACTCACATCCTTGTCAAACTTCAGTTTTTTAATAATATTTACAATATAGACAAATATAACAGAGTTTTCAACGACTACATTCAATGATTGAATTTTCAGTGACAATTCAAAAACCATTAGACAGAGTATTGACAAAGCCATTAATACTACCAGAATTATTTTTATTATGAGTACCTGTAGTCACATGTATATCATTTCCAAAGTGTTTATTATTATTATTGTTGTTATTCATCTCAATAATTTTCTTATTTGCTGAACTTCTTGAATTGTCAATGGGATAATATTATTATTATTATTAACATTATTTTCCTCTTTATTTATTTTATTAATATTAGAGATAATATTCCTTGGACTAATATTAACACTATAATTGTTATTACTATTATTATTATTATTATTACTGTTAGTATTGTTATTTACACATTGTGTAACCCCCATCTGATTTGACGGTGTATATCCCCTTGAATTAATTATTACTGATGTGGACTGTTGTACAGATTGATGAGGATTGTGTGAGTTATGCAATACTTGTTCTTCTCCACTAGTTATCTTGTTTTCCTCTTGAAATTCTGAATAAAATGAATTCAACAAGCTCCTTGTCCCATGTTTATCACTCGTGTCTAATGGTAATCGACTTTTAAACAGTTTCTTTATATTTTTTAATGATGCATATTTAAAGCATGCATTATCTAAAGATGAAGTAGTTTTAGTGTAAGATGACGTCGATGCAGTGGAATTACTACTCGGTAAACGCTGAGTTAATCCACCAAAGTGTACACGATAATAATGATCACCCCATTTAATACACCATGGATTTGATAATGCCTTGATAAATACAACATAAACTAACAATTCACGAGTTATCCAGGCCAGTAAGAATGTTGGAAATGAGAATGGAAGTTTTGAATTCTAGATTAAAAAGAAAGAAGGCAGAAGTCAAATTATGATATATATATATATATAAACCAAGAGTAAAATTATCTCACTTTAGGTACCTTCACGAATCTATATAAGTTAAAAAAATTCCACGGAAAAGCAAGGAGCACTAGACAGCCGTTTCGTCCCAGTTTCAAACTCTTCATCAATATGCACACTGATGTCGGTTTGTGATAACATCTAATTTAGAATAAATCAAATCTCCATAATCTCAAAAATTAAAAATAGTATTCAGTTTAATCCTTCGACACTCTCTTCATACATATTTCGGTATAATAAACAAAGGAATGTTTAAAGGTTGAAGGCGTTGACGTTCACGGATAGTACGAAGTATACTAACGCAAGATCTAATAGCCACAACCTCTATAGTATTCGCTCCGCGTAGATTAAAGACAAAGCGAAACACCAAAATTGATCACCCAAATTACGAAGTATATTTTGGGACCAAATTATAGTGCGAGGTTGATTGCTTAACAAGCTAGGAATCGTGCACGAAAGAACGAACGTAACACGACGGCCTGGCGAATGGCGTGGATGTTTGACCGTAAGCCTTCAGCTAAACAAGTCAACTAAAACAGTGAGGGTCGGCATCCAGTGTTCGGTGATGAATGCTGTGTCTAATAATAATTTCGGGGAATTACCAACCGCTGCAAACGCATTGAAGAATTTCATAGCAATTTCTGCTTTTCATTCAGAATGCTCTTCCTTTCATGTTGACAACTTACAACCGACAATCAACAAACAGTTCTGATGATTGAGTTCAACAAATTTTCTCATTCCGTTTAAATATTTTACAAGTTAATGTTTTATAGTCTTGCTATTGCATTTCATTTCAAACATACTTTAACTCAAACTTTATCACAAACACAATCTGCTTATAGCCAAGACTAAAATCTTATTAAGGTTGAAATCAAGTGACGAGAGGATGCATAGTGTGCATATGTATGACAGCGTAGGGACACTTATTTACAATACCAGGGTTGTACGTCACTCATAATAGTTATCAAAAAATTTTGAACGCGTTCCTGTTCGAAGAAATGTCGTGCATACTGACTCTAGATTTTATTATCTTTTCTAACTCTGAAAATAAAAATAGAACAGCAGTTAATTCAGCGAAGTGTCTATTTGCGACAGGTTCATCACGTAGATATAACGTCGGCAGAGAATTCTGCCCAAAAGTTACGACACTCCATGTAGCACAGAAAAATAGAGAAAAGAAATTCGAGAAAACCCTTATTAGCAGAAATGTCCAAGAGAAAGAATGGTAGCATGGAAAAACATAGAAGAACCTTAAATCCCATGTGTGTTTTTGAAAAATGACCTTTGATTTTCCATATAAATTGAATTGACAAGTTGACGTATGATGGATGATGAGAATGTTCGAGATGTAATGTGCCAATACATAATGTTTTTCAGATAAACTCCGTCTTTAAATAAAACTATCGAATCTATACTTATTTCTGTGTTCAAGACAATCAAATAAAGCATTTACATCTAGGCAACAATAATGTTTATGTTTTCAAGAGAAAAACATACATCATGATGTTCTCGGTTCTATTGTAAACCCATTCTCATAGGTATGACACAACTCAATAGGTCATAAAAGATTTTTCATAGTAACAATTTTGAAAGAAATGTAATACAGAACAAATGAATAAAGATGGAATGGAAATCATTGGGTAAACAAGACTAACACTAGTAGTGCTAAGCTTTTCATCCTGAGACTCAAATGCTGACAACGTTTTAACATTGTCTCAACAACTAGACGTTATGTGAATGAGTTATAAAAGCAACCATTTGTCTATTATACCATAACCAGCTGTCCAGAAATATACAGTTTCAATTCCCATTGTGATGAAATGAAGAAAAGGAATGACTGAATAATTATTAGGAGGATTATAAGATAGTCATATCAACGACTAAAGAATAACCACAGGCAGTGGGAACGGATGAAAATGTCAAAGCCAGCCAGTCAGAATTGGAAAGGCGAGATACGCCTTCAACCTGAAACCAGTTTGGAAATTTTCTGCACTCAGCCAGCATAAACAACAAGATTCTGATTTTTAACACAAATGTGAAGTCAATCACTTCTTCTGTGTGGGTCAGAAACTTACACTGCACGTCACAAAAGGATTTCCAACAAGTTACAAACTTTTATCAACAGCTGCCTCCTTCACTGGCTTCATACTCAAGATCAAATGGCCGGCTGGCAACAAGGAACTTTGGCATTAAACCAACCAATAGCTAATCGCTTAACAAATGTGTAGGAGAAAATTGAGATGGATACATTGAGGAGGCCGTCGAATGACATCGCGTGCAATTCAGGCCAGCCGTCGAGTGCATCGTCAGTGCGAGGGTGACATGGAGGAGATCTTTAGAGGGGAAGATGAGATTTTATGGGCAATAGTGGAGCCAGCTAAAGAGGACATCAGAAAACAGAACACCGTGGAGATGTGTTGTTGAAGCCCTATGTTCCACTGGTAACACAGGGAAATAATAATAATAATGCATATCAATGACTAAAGAATAACTACTGAAAGCTTTTTATAGAGTCAAAGACTCATTTGGTCAGTTGTAAGTTTTGAAAAGTGTATGCTTTGGAAGCCGGAAAATACCTAGTGCAGCTCTCTTGTCCTTGGTACTGATAAAAGACAGTGAATCAATATTTCAGTGCAGTCACTTGACCAATTACCCAACACTATTGAACTTACTAGTGTACCATAGTTTGATAATAACAGCAGAAACGAAGACAACTAAATCCCAAACTACTAAATACACTCAAACCGAAATTAACGAAATCCATGGTAAAATAGGTCATAATATACAACTACTAAAGAATAAATGGTATCTGATTGTCTGATCTTAAGTAGATACTTTATTACTACAGCGTGCCCAATCAATTAGTGGTTGCGTGTAATCACCAACAGTTCTTATGAATGACCATCTCAAATAAAAAGGTACACTATTTTGACATTAAAATTCTATGCAGTCATGATATCTAGTTGTGATTGCTAGTGTAATCTGGAAACACCGAAAAGTTTAAATGTTCGTTGACGATGACAATCTATCAAAAAAGTTACACATCAATTTATTGAGTACTAATTTTAACCAAACAATTGGACAAATGTATGTGTAGTCTCCAGAGGAACGTTTTGAGGCATAATACCAATAAAAATGAATGCTTAGATTATGTGCTTTTGTAGGGATTTGAAATGTATATTTCACCAGATAGCAACATCAGCTGAAGAATTATTGAAAACTAGATATCACTAAATATCTGTTTCGTCTTAGTTTGAGACTCCTCATCAGACGCACTCACGACCTCATCAGGAATCAAACCCAAGATCTACAGGTTAAACTAAACTAAGAAAGGTATGCGGCCCAGTGCTAGTTATTCATTTCAATAAGGTATAATATGAACTATTAGTTAAATATATTTAAAATAATTCTTTTGAATTGTCTAGGTACAAATTGATTACTCTTACACCTACATTAACAGACAAACAAAAGTGATGATGAGATTACCTGGGACAACGTTGGATTGACATTCTACTATTGAAGTAGTAGGTAGTGAATGAAGGTGACATGAGAATCTGAATCATGGCAGGATCCTAAACGACTCTCTTCGATTATTAACTAAGTGCTCTATCAGCTAAGCTATGTGATCTAGGCTACATGATTACTCACAGTCATCACCAGTGTTGTAACAAAGCTACATTGAATATACAAGTAGAAACTGTTAAGTTTCAGCTGCAAGTCATGGCTTCAGGTCACTGGAAGCCGTAACAGAATTCAGCACTGATTTTCATCACGACAAATGCTTAAAAGTGACTGCCTGGAACTGTACGAACCCAGAAGATTCTTTTGTTAACTACACTAATAAGAATTCAATGGGCTAAAATGAGAAATAAATTGGTCGTACTTTGCGTTATACAAATACCTAATTCAACAAACAGAAACATTTTCACTTTTTATCTGGAATTTTAAAGTTCCCACCTAAACTCCTATCACTGAACTAAATTGAATTTTCAATGTAAAACTGTGCACAAGGTGCAGGAGTTCAAGTTGCTACATTGCATATAACAGAAAAAGGTGGGCAAAACAGATATTCAACAGAATTGTGCGGGATAAATAACAATAACATGGAAAAGTACAAGTATTTGATGGATTGGGAAGATTATATAAAATGAATAAATCTGTGCCATTGAAAAAGGATTTAAGCAATATTACCGACAGCCAATGGTTTTTAGCAGCCTGGGGACGCCAATCAGACAGCCTACACTCCCACACGACTCTAACGCACGGTCAAAGACCTCATGGAGTGATATCATGCTTCGATTTGACCAACTCTAACTCTTCTCTAATTTAATCTTTTCTCTGACAGCGAGCCTTAGTGAGTAACCAGATCAATATTGCATGAGATTTGAAGTTATTCAGAGGTTTTAACTATTAAAGTATCTCAGTATTTTTCGGAAAAATTGTTTTCCTTTAATGAGAGCAGTTGAATTCACTGCTAGTATTCGTCTCAGCATTCATATGAGTACTGATAGTGTTGAACTAATTCAAATGGGTTAAGACTTCACTCAGTGGTTTTTGCTTTTTTCTTAGCTAGTTGTATTTATATTCATTACACCTGTAGTGCAAATGCTGTGTACGCTCACTTTCATAATAGTTTTACAGTAAAAACTAAGTATCCTTCCTTTACTCTTACTTACTTTAAGTATTCACATGTACACTACTGTGGAGATATAAAATAGAAGCAAACACGACAAACTAGAATTTCTATGCGTTAAACCTAAAGTTAAATTGCATATATCAGTCAGTGTATGTACACACATGCGGTTTCTAGTATTCATATTGACACCTTTATGACAATTGCAATTGTGGTTCATTGGCATTTATGTACTTCACCTAACACATAACACTCAATAATTCAGTAATTATGTTTATTAAAGAAAATCATTAATAATAATTCAGTATTATCGATCAATTTAATTTACATTTAACGAGACCAAAAATACCAAGTATTCTCCCTGGAGCATGAAAAGACTGACTGACTGCTTACACACAGTGAACAGTTAATCTAATGACACAATAAATGTGTATTAGGTATCTTGAAATAAATTGTCCCGCTTAATAAGAGCAAATGAAAAGAAACATCAGTGTAGTCATGTTTATGTTCCTCACTTTCAGCGATCATGGTGTCACAATCGTAAATTAGAATGGAAAGGAGTGTAATACACACGTACATATAGACTTTTATAGATATCAGGATATCTTACAGTCACTAAAGTTAATATAGGTTGGCGAATGTGTGTTGAGATTTTGTCAGTAATCAATTCAATAGATTTGTTACAACTTTCAGAAATGCCCAGTATATTCGACCACTTCACTTATTCATCACAATCAGTGATACCGGAACACTTTTAGTTACCGTTTGTAATAATACTTTTAATAAACACTTTATATATCAACTTTCTAAAATATCGAGAGAATTTCCTTAATGTCACTTCAACAATAATTATGTATTACTTCGTGTTTTTATCGAAATAACGACTGACTGACTGAGTTTCAACGTAGAAGTCTGCACAGAAGTGCATCAGTTCAAGCTGAACTATAATGAGCAGAATCATACAAAAGAAACAATAATAACATAGAAGAGCACGAGGTTCAACGGATCTGGTAGATTATAAAGAGTGAATTCGTCTGCGTCAGTGAGAATGGTTCTGAGCTATATCACCAACAGTCTCCACTCACTGGTTCTTAGCATCCGAAGGAAGCACCCAGATGGTCTACCCGGCTCAAACCAGAAGTCAAAGACCTCATGAATTGATTAACTACCCCTAACCCTCTTGAAATTTAGTCCTATTTCAGTCAGTATTACTGGTGGATGGTGACTAGCAGTGGAATCCAGGATGCGCATTTCGTCCTATTTGGGACTCGTTATCTGGATGTACCTGCACTCCGCAGTGACTGGTGATGCTCCCACCGAGGCTCGAACCCGGTGCCCATAGTTTCAAACGCCAAAGCGTTATCCACTAGACCACTTGAGTCACAAGAGCCACCATGTCAACCTGAGAGCGAGCACTTCGACCCAACCAATCGACGGGGAAATCTAAATTGAATTAAATTATTAATATGACCCGTTGCACAAGAGGCTCTCATGGTCCAATTGGTCTGCTGGATAGAGCTTTCGCGTTTAAAACTATGGGCACTGGGTTCGTACCTCGGTGGGAGCATCATCACTCACTGCAGAATGCACGTGCATCCAGATGACGAGTCCCAAATAGGACGAAATGCGCATCATGGATTCCACTGCTGGTCACCATCCATCAATTAACCATAATATCACTTATTATATTACACCACTTAGCACAAGCGATAGGATGCAAACATCTGTAGTTAAAGATTTAACAACAGTTAAATATAACCCGAAACATCCATCCATTACAGATATTTGGAAAGTCAAGCTATTAGGAAAAATGAGGAAATTAGGCAGTAGAGAACACTAACATAAAATCATACTCCACTAAAATGTCCAAGTTTTATTATTATATTCACTATCCCAATTTTTGTAAATTCAATAATATTGAGATATTAAAAGTGCTAGTGATTTACGTAAACTTATCAGTTTAATTTGAAAATGACTCTAAAACAACTTCAGTAAAAGAAAAAAAACAAACAGTCAGATTGTCACTTACTTGTACCAAACACAACAATGCGTAATCCAGTGTTATCCATATTGTAAAATGTATTATCATTAGATATACAAATTTAATATCAAATAAATAATCCATAGTTAGTGAAAATAATAGACCAAGTGTAATTGATTCACTCAACGGTTCTAATACACCTGACACCAACGGTAACATATTCAATCGGAGTCGAAGCCAACGAACCATTCTTCTAATATAGCTCACTAATGTACTGTCACTAACATTTTGCATAACCGGATATGATGATATGACAATACGATAACCTCTGGAAAGCAAATAAGAAATAAAAGAAAAGATGTAGCTGGAAAGATTAAATAGACAAAACATTTTATTGATATTACTAAAATAAAAGATTTTGGGACAATATTAACTCTGTCATTTACAAATTTTACGCCTCGCAGAGGTCGGGCGTGAGGACAAATACTCACCACCGATGACATTCGCTAGTGGTCAAGCTATGTCGTGAATTGGCAGAAGTTGGAATTCATGGGCCACTGGATGGGGTCCCAGTAGCTTAATGGTCTACGAGCTTGTCCTGTAACCAGAAGGGTCTGGTTTCGAACCTCAGTGTGTGCGTACTGATGAAGAGTCCCAAACTAAAGCTGAGGAACCAGTTGTCCAGTACTCCCTGTTGGTTTTCCAATGGTTCTCTAACCGACGCTCAGCTCATGATGAAATCCTGTACCCATGGTTTTTAATTTTAAAAACTGCAAAGTTTCAGATTAAATTGTGACCTGGTTGAAAAGATAAATGACGATCAAGTAAGTAAATAAAATAGTATCGTGATATCACTGATACATGCAGTATGCATTAAGATGAAATTTCACCTTAAACTGTGTCATCTGAATCCAGATATACCATCCATGAGGTCATCTCACAAGAACGAAAGTGGGCAGTCCGGTGTTTACATCACTTTGATCTCGTTAGTAAGCATGACAGGTAAATGTGGATATGCATTTGATTTACTAAAGTAAAAAAAATATTTGCCTGAAACAAATGAATTTTTATTAGAAGGAAATTGCAACTTAGCTATTCCATAACGTTCCATGTGGAACATAAGGCTTCAAGCTAGAGCCTTGAAGTTTCCTTAGTAATGGGTTTTTTTAATTTTTACGGGGTGGGGTTGCTAACCTCACGCCCAAACTTCCCTTTACATAGACATCACTACCGGCCTATTGAGGTCTAGGAGTGCGTCGGTCGGAAATCGAACCAAAGACCCTATCCGTAGGTCGACGAACGTTCTACCTCTGGACCACCAACACCAAATTACAACTACACATGTGAAAACGTTAGGATATTAACAAACTAATCGACAGGTGAAAAAGCTAAAATATAGAAATTGTGGAGACCGAATGTGAATGCGGTAAGCGACGTTTTAGTTGTTAATCGATTTAACCTTTGTTAGGTGTTATATCATTAAATTGAGCAAATGGAATCGTAGTCTTTCAACTAAGTTGGCAATATGTTTATGTCTTTCATTTATAGATTTCCAATGCAAAATACGCCTCTAGAAAGATGTTGTATAGTATTGCATCTAACGATAATCAACAGCAGATACTAGTACCGGTACAGGCAGTATTATGTCTGTTATTTACTCAGCATGAAAGACAACCTTGGAAGCGGTACAATGCTCGCCAACCACGTAAGTGGTCTGGGGTTTGGTTTCCAGCCGACGCACTCGTGAACATCACTTAGCAGTTAGTAAGCCTGGTAAAGAGGGAAGGTTAGGTTTCAGACCACTGCTACTGAAACTTGGAAGTTCAAACCTGAAGCCCTATGTTACACTCTGAAAGCAAAGGAATAAAAATAAATTACAAATAAAAGACAACTTAACTCCTGAAGTAGATAACAAATATCGACGCATTAGTGACATGTTTTACTCTGAACACCGTTATTTCTGTTTTAGACGCATCTTACTCTAGATGATATTGCTCTTCCAAAAACGACAATGGTGTAACAAGTATCCTCATCACTTCAATCAATGAAGATTTACAAACTCTTAAGATTGACGTAACCTACTTGACATTCTACGCCTAACTTCAATATGATACTTAATTCAGCCACTTATGGTTTTTATGTACTAAACTGCCAGTGAAACTGAGAATAAGTAATCATGAAATTACCCGGTTTTCAGATTGACAATTAATAATGGAATGATTTAGAACCAGTACCTTTTGGTTGAAAACCAAATGATTATGCTAGTAAGCCATAGCAATAATCATCTTTATCTATCTTATGTATATTTTATCTCTTCTTTCACACACACATACACACACACACAAAACTTTCGGCGGTCACACTTAAATATTCTTATTGTCTAAACATCAATAACATATCAAAAAATCAGTTCTTAAGTAGCAACAATGTATCTTTTCATCCACCCGGCAGTTAGTCATATTCTACGGTTAAAGACTAATTCTTGTTGGTCGGAGTATAGTTCCAACAAATGATTCATTACAGGAACCAGATTAACTAGGTCACAACATCTTAAAACAATAATAATCAACTTTCGCTGATGTATTCAACTACAACTGAAAATGATGACCATTGATTCTTTTGTTCACAAAACGTGTGTCACCTTAGAAATTACTCATCAATATGACCTTTTATATGTTCCAGGTATATTTTAAACAAAATTAACCGGTACCTCTTGAAGAATGAGTTCTTTAGCATGTTTCTTTTTTTTTTGTACAATCGCTTCTAATAAGCATTGCTAAAACTGTATATTTATGAAGATTAATGTCACTATTATTTTGTTTTATTTCTGTGACCTATACATGTCATTATCCGCTCTGTGTTGTAAAAACCATCTTGCTATAACACGTTTAAATACAATGAAACAGCCATTCAATTTTTGTAATACCATTTTTTCTGTTGTGTCTTAAGCTCTAATCCTAATAGCAGTTTATGAACACAGGACAAGCTCACATGAGATAGAATATAGGTTGTAGAAAGTGCCTGGTGCCTTTATTTAATGTATACTCGGTAAATTCAGATAATTTCAGTTAAAATATGTAACTCAAATGTTCGTGTTCACATTCAAGTGTTCGTCACTCCTGTTAATTCAATAACATCCTCCATAGTTCAGTTAGATTTGAGGAAGAGTTAGCTGATAGGATAATATCCTACTTGAATGATCACTGCGTTCCATAATTAAACAATAAAGACAAAAATTTTTTAAAAAAAACGCGATAGTGAACTTCCGCCTACCAGTAAACATGAAAATCTATGACTTATTTGTAAACTAGGTCCCAAAAAAGAACACTTCTGAAAAATTGTAGAGTAAAATTAAAAGGCTACTGAGTACTAACTGATGTTCGTTCATGCTTCCTTCTTAACCATGCATATAAATTCTCGAAGGAAAACCCTCCTGAAATCTATACAACATGATGATAAACCTATTGCGTGAACCAATGATAGTATTGAAATAAAGTGACACTATACTGTTCATTTACAAAACCACACCTATTTCTGTAACAATTAGTTATAAAGCAGCAGGTTTCAAACATTTACAAACTATAATAATATGTTAGAACTTTCAAAAAAACATAAATTAATCGAAACAAATATTCAGAAATATTTGAAAATTCATATAAATGTTAAGTAAACAAAAAATTTTGGAGTTGTGTCCTGATACCTAATATAATGTGAATTTATTTTTACTTTTTTTCACTCTTTTCCGTTCCCAGTGGAATATAAGGCTGTAAGCATTCAATTTTTCAGTAACAACCATGTTGCTGTGTTAATGGGAGGGATCGCCAGCCTCACACCCAACCTCTATTATTTTTCGGGCTTATCCCCCATCCCCGGCTACGACGGGTTTCGGATTACACTGATCAGGAATCGAACCCCGGGCCACGTGCATGCGTGGTGAACATCTTAAATTTCCACAGATAGTCAGTGACAAGTAGTTTCACTCAAACAGATAAAAAAAGTTATTATCGTTTTAACAAAAGCTTAAAAAATTGTAGGCTGATGAGGCGAAACAAAATCTGAGTTTACTAGAATGTGTTTTCGTTCATAAAATATTCTTTTCTATTCCATTTAAAAAGCAGCATCGAAAAGGAATCAAAGGTAAATTTACTTTTCTGGTAAACTTGAGATGGAAAATACAATCACTATACAGGTTTCATCACTAGATAATATCAGTTATTAAAAAACCGAAGAGTCCTGGACAGCTGTTTCTTCCCAGTTCGAAACTCTCAGGTACTATGCACCCGAAGGGATTTGAACCCAGGATCTTCTGGTTACAGGGTAAGTTTGTAGACCATTCAACCATTGAGACGCTGTCCACCGTCTGTCTATTTGCCATATATAGTGTATCGTATTGAGTACAACTAGGCATCGAATGGAAACTGAATTTTTCAATCAGAATATCTAACAGGTATGATGGTTCACAGGCTGGTCAATCACGCACACAGCCCAGATTTGAGTCCCAGCCGATGCACTCCTAAACCTCACTTAGCCGACGGAAAAAACGGTAAAAAAGGAAGCTTGGATGTAGGACTAGTGACACCATATGGAAACTCAGAAGCTCAAAGCGTGAAGCCCTATATTGCACACGGAACTCAAAGGAGTGGTTCAATAGTAGAATGCTTGAAAACAACTGAGGAGGTGCCGAATGGACACCTGGCTAATGGGTTTCTAAACCTCACCTAGTAAACTAGCCGATAGTAAGGCCGGAAATAATAGGAGGTTGGGCGTGAGGATAGCAACACCACCCAGTAAAAACAACACACACAATCTCAATCCTGAAGCCTCATGCTTTACACACAACGGCTGCCTAATAGCCCCTACTTTCCAATAGTTCTCTAACCGGCGTTAGATAGTGATCGAACTTGAGACGTATTTAAGTAATCACACTATGAACTAGTCAGACATATGGATTATCGTATAGTCACTGGTTAATATAGATTTATAATAACATTTCAACTCAAAAGTTTTCTGAAACTGGAAATAGTCTATTGAGAGACACTTTCTATTAATCTACCTAAAGTTAAAATAAGTAGAGCTCATCATTAGCCGTCACACTGGGGCTATTTATTCACTATATAAATATAATTTTCATAAACAATGTGTTTATTTTGTATGCATCCTAGTATACATTAAATTTTTCTTTATACACCTATAAGATAAAAACCCTTAAATAATAGCTCAGGTGGCTTTCGCAAGCATCTAATAATATATTACCAAAAAACCATTGAGGAAACTTAGGAAATTTTCCTGTTTTAGAAATTCTACACATTTCGGAGTAGTCTAAAAGTC